GATCATGATTGTATCATCTAGCAAAAAAAAAAAAAAAAGAAAGATTTATCGGGAGGGAGAAGGATTAAGCTACTCATCTCCATCTCTGGGGATCAATCAAACGAATTTATAAGGATAAATCCCTCTAAGGAATTCTGTTAACGCACGGAATCACTAAGGTGATAGTACCTAAACTGTTAGGCTGATCCCTATGCTTTATCTTTGAGGAATTTCCATTGTGTTACTATTTGAAAATCATGACATTTCATTTAGAAATCATTAAGTTGATGGAGGTTGAACTGTTTAGGTTGGTTCCAATGCTCTATTTTTGTGCAAGTTGGCCAGTATTCCTATTTTGAATATCACGAAGTTGCGTTTAGAAATAATTAAGCTGATGGAGGCTGAATTGTTTAGGTTGGATCCAATGCTCTATTTTTGTGTAAGTGTGACAGTATTCCTATTTTGAGTATCACGAAGTTGCGTTTAGAAACTATTAAGCTGATTGAGGCTGAATTGCTTAGGCTGGTTCCCAAATTCTTATCTTTGAGAAATTTCCATTGTGTTACTATTATGAAAATCATGATATTTTATGTTATCAGTTCATACACGCTAATACATGACGATGATTATGATGATCTCAAAAAATCTGAAAAAATAAGTGAAGTTTAGCATGTAATTTAATGCACTGTTTAATTAGTTGGACACGTTTATAGAACGACGAAGGGAATTTACATTGAAAAGTGTATTTATTTTGAGAAACTGTTTCAAGCCTAGAACTAATTAAATGCAGGTATATCATACGTTTATTGATTTTAGTACTATATAATAACCTTGAAAACGACTATCTCAGGAAGAAATTAGTTTTCCTACCTTTCATTACTGATTTTGTAACTAGATTTTTTCAAGGAGACAGAATTTTCATGCACCTATTTGCTGCGAAGTCAGAAGATAGGAAACAATAAAAAAATATTGAAAAAGAAATATTGTAGGTATTGTATATCAGAATGTATCACGTTTGTGCGTAATATTGTAGGTATAGTTTATCGGAACGTATCACGCTTGTACATCTATACATTCTGTTGAAATACTTTTTTAAAGTGAATAAAAAGCGAAGAAAATTTACTCTAGCTGGAGAGTTTTATTTACTTATTGAATCGTTAAATATTCGAGATCTCTGATGGAGCCAATATATATATATATATTTCAAAGATATTTTATTTGCGACAAGACTTTGTGACGAAAGTTAATACTGACTTTGATGCACGAAATCGTTGAATTAGAACAAGAAATTCAAATGTATTATTTGAAAATTGGGGAGGAAACATAGATAAAAATATTAAATATTTCATGAAAAATAATTAAATTCCAAACTTAATTTTACCGTATAAAAAAGTAAGGCTAAAATACGTTTTGAATTACTTTAATAGCATGATATTTGGTCATAGATACGTCTCACTTTTCTTGGATACACTCTGATGAAGAAGATTAACATGAAAGTAGTTGTGTGGAAAACAAGAGAAGAAGGAAGAAAAAATCGCAATGACAAGAAATGTAGTTGTGTTGAAGACAAGGGAAGAAGGAAAAAAATAGCAATGACAAGAAATGTAGTTGTGTGGAAGACAAGGGAAGAAGGAAGAAAAAATAGCAATGATAAGAAATGTAGTTGTGTGGAAGACAAGGGAAGAAGGAAAAAAATAGCAATGATAAGAAATGTAGTTGTGTGGAAGACAAGGGAAGAAGGAAAACAAATAGCAATGACAAGAAATGTAGTTGTGTGGAAGACAAGGGAAGAAGGAAGAAAACATCGCAATGAAAAGAAATGTAGTTGTGTGGAAGACAAGGAAAGAAGGAAAAAAATCGCAATGAAAAGAAATGTAGCTCTTTAAGAAAAGGATTAAAAGAGAATGATAGATGAGATTAAAACAGTAGGAAAACTGGCGCGAAGTTCTTTCTATACACGTGTGCGTGTGTGTTCACATTCAAAAACGAAAAATTAATTAATTTATTTATTATTAGTACAAATGACTCTTTAAAAATTAAAGTCAATAACTTTGGTGATTTGTCAAAATTATTTATAACGTCAAGCTAAAAGAAAAAAAAGATAAGATATAACCATTCATCAAATTCTGATTAAGAAGTTAGCGCACAGGATCACCTACAAAAGTTCTAATGGTTTTCAAACTAGACCCAAAACTCGAGCCGTTTCGAATAGTTGACTATTTTTCTACAGGAGAATAAAGGGTTATGTTTAATGGGTGTGATGAAATATATAGGCTCGGATGTCGACGTCACGTAAACTGGATGTTTAATACGAGTTAGCCTTGAGAGCTAGCCAATCATAACCTAGAGTTGTTGGTGTCAGGTTTAGTTTGTGCCAATGAGGTGTGTAGAGACTTAAGTTACAAGAAATGTTAATCAGTTTTTTAAAAGATAAAAACAGAAATAAAATAACGGCAAAAGGTGGCGGGAAATAGAAAACATGACAATGTGACGTAATATATAATACAAACATAGAGAAATTAAAGTATGAATAATATTAATAATGTAAAGTAAGTTTAATTATGAATTTAGTTTTGAAAATCTATTCAGAGACATATGAAGGTCAACAATTTAGGGATCGAGACTGATGTCATTTGGCGTTATAGTATTTATCAGTGCTATCCAGTAAGCTTCTTTAATTTCCCTGTTTTTGTTAAATGTTTGATTGTTTGTTTTTAATTATGCAGAAAGCTACACAAGGGCTATCTGTGCTCTGCCAATCACGGGTATCGAAACCCGATTTCTAGTGTTGTAAATCCGCAGACATACCGCTGTGCCACTGGGGGACTCTCTCTTAAATGAAAATTTGTCTTTATACCCGTCAGTTTGATGTCATCAAGACAGTGTCCAGGCATGTTCAATTGTTTTGCGACCGGAAGTTTTTGTTTGTTTTTATTGTTGATTTATGGTTATTAAAACGTTCCCGTATAGTTGTTTTGGCTTGACCTACATATTGTAAGTTCCATTTTCGACATAGGATTAAGTAAATAACGTTTTTTTTTTTTGTAGAGCAGGTTATGGGTTTAGTGATTTTGAACTGCTTTTGGTTATCTTTATCGGAAAATTTGTCCGTTTTCTGATGAATTTAAAGGTTTGGCATCACTTGCTATTGCAAGGATGCCTTCCACCTGGTGTCGAAAAAAAAAGGACAGAAACTTCCATAAAAATGGATTTTAGTTGACCATTAAGTTGAAAGAGGTAAAAGTGTATTTTTTAATACCCGGAGTAGATTTATTTTAGTTTTGGGTGATAGGTAATAACCAGTGAAACACTAGAAGAATTTGTTTTAGGCGATTGTTTCAAGTCAGATTCTCATGATATATTGTTAGCTTTGTCAAGTTGTTGGGTGATAGTGTTTGTTTATAACATCTTTCAGTCATAGAGGTAATAACCAGTGAAACACTAGAAGAATTTGTTTTAGGCGATTGTTTCAAGGCAGATTCTCATGATATATTGTTAGCTTTGTCAAGTTGTTGGGTGATAATGTTTTGTTTATAACCTCTTTCAGTCATAGTCTGTTTCAAAGAATTAATGTGATGGTCATAGTCAGAGCATATCTTTTTTAATCTAAGTGCTTGATTGAATGTGATATTGTGTTTGGTGACAGCTTTGATTCTGTAACTATTGTGGTTTATCCGTTGGTTTTCGGTATAAATCAGTATGTTGAACACCATCTTTTAATGTTAGGTTTACATCTAACAAGCTTATTTGGGTAGTGGAGTAGTCTAGAGTAAATTTAACAGAACTGTGGAAGGTGTTAGCATGTCTATGAAAGGACAATAATGATTCTTCGTCTCCTATCCAAATGAAAAAAAAACAACAAATCATCAATGTAGTGTCTCCGAAACGTTGGTTTGTCTGGGAAACTTTCCAACAGTTTCGTCTCTAAGTCTCCCAGAGAATCACCAATGATTCTCTGGGAGACTTAGAGACGAAACTGTTGGAAAGTTTCACAGACAAACCAATTTTGTCTGTGAAACTTTCCAACAGTTTCGTCTCTAAGTCTCCCATAGAATCATTGGTTTTTTTGTGAAACTTTCCAACAGTTTCGTCTCAAAGTCTCCCATAGAATCATTGTTTTGTCTGTGAAACTTTCCAACAGTCTCGTCTCTAAGTCTCCCATAGAATCATTGTTTTGTCTGTGAAACTTTCCAACAGTCTCGTCTCCAAGTCTTCCATAGAATCATTGGTTTGTCTGTGAAATTTTCCAACAGTCTCGTCTCTAAGTCTCCCAGAGAATCATTGTTTTTTTTTAAACTTTCC